CCGGCGGCCGCTTCACCTTCAGCCCCGTACCAGCCGGAGACTACGAGGTGCCACCCACCGCCGCGCCTCCCCCGGCCCGGCTTCACCGGGTGCTGGCTGGTGGCTGGGGTGCAGACGGATTTTTGCGTCCCCATCCCTTCGGGTTTGCGCCGCGCCCCCTGTTACTCTGTCTTCCGGTGACAATAAGGCAGTCGCCTGCTATTGTGTGGCAAGACGATAATGGCAAACGTGTGCATGAGTCTGTGAGCCGGGGCCACTCCTGTGACTGTGCGGGACTTGTTAAGCCAGGGCAGCTTCCGTGACTGTGCGCCAGTCGGCGCCTCAGCCCGCCTCTACGCGCCCATTTGTGACCTGTGTGTGTGTGTGTACTGGGCCTGGCGGTAGGCCGCTGATGCCACCTGTCGCCTCGCCAGGGTGACGGCCAGCCACCCGGTGTGGCGGCTGGCCAGGGGCCGCACCAGCGTCTCTGTGCGCGGAGGACAACTGGCGACGTGGGTCAGCAGCTGGCCGTGGCTGGCTTCGACCTCTCCGGACAGGTGGGTGATGGCCCCTGCGAGACCGGGCCGCGGACGCCGGCTCAACAGTGGCGCCTCCGATGTGTATGTTTGTGATGTCGGGTGTCATCTTGTCTGCTGATGGGCTTCTGGTCAGGCTTCTGGCTAGTGTGTCTTCAAATCATACATTGATCCAGTCTAGAATGCTGTCATGATGTGTGCTGCATGCAGCTATGAGATAGCAATACAACAGTTGTGCATATGGAAAGTGACCAGACACCATGCACTGTCCAGTGTGTGGCTGTGGCATGGCCGTGATCTTACACCCCGCATCACCCTGCATGACCTGGCAGTCATGTTTGGCCCTGTGACAATGCACCCTATATGATCGGCACCCTGCATGTGTCACTGTATGGCCTGTGTTGTTATTCATCTGTGGTTACATTACCTGCCGGCGTGGCAAAAACATCACAGCATTCTCCTGCATTCCCAAACCCTGTGATCCTATGCCCAGTGACTTTGCACCCTGTGATACCCTTCAGCATATGTGATCTCATGCAGCCTCTGTAACCGTGCACCCTATGTGACCCCGCCCAGTCATCACACATGTCCGTGTGACGCGAGCAGCGCCGCCGCGCCAACAGGTGGTGAATGCTGGTGAGCCGGTGCCGGACGTGACGCTAGTGCTGCACGGCCGGCGGCCGGAGGCGGCGCCGCTGCTCGGCTGCGAGGCCTCGCCGCTGCCGGGGTACACGGCGCGCGCCGGCCTGGCACCGCCGCTCTGCCGCGTCACCATCGGACGCCGCCGGACGCTTTCCTCTTCCCGGTGGTGCCGGCCGGCACGTGAGTGAGCGCCCCGCCGCTGCCGCCGCCGTGGATGCGTGCCATCCCTGACTTCCTGCTGCGGTGTTCAGGGTGTGCAGTATGGCGTGTATGTCCCCAGCAGTTTGGTGGGACCTGTAATGTGCTCCAGTGCTTTCATGGGCTCCCACTGGTGTCTGGTGTTACGCTCACGTTGACGTGGCCTCGTGAACAAGCGTTCATAGTCAGGTAAGGTACTCAAAATTTTGCGTCTTAGTGCGCCGCACCACAACAAAGATGCTTGAAATCATCAAGTGCGTGCAACTACGCGGCCCCTCACCATGTTGTCTGGCAATATGATTTGAGTTGATGTTAGCATGCATACACAGGATGAATAGGAGCCACTAGTTGACAGTCAACAGGCATCGCGTGTCACTCTGTCATAGGGTCGTTATCACGTGGCCGATGTGTGTACCCCACTGCCCATGTGTCTTCATGCAATGAGCCCCCCCCCCCCCCCCAGCTTTCATCCACAGGTAGACGTTAGTGCCGGCGTACATTGTGTGACCCCAATCGCCGCAGGTACACGGTGGTGCCGGTGTACGCGAGCCCCAACACGCGGTTCGACGTGCGCCCCGCCGAGGTGGAGGTCACCGTGGCGCAGGGCAGCGCCACTGTGCCGACGCCATTCCAGGTCAGTTTGCACTGGAATGGACGCAGTGTCCCTGTGCGTGCCACGCACTAGTTGCTGCACTGTGGGTGCCTCTGTAACATTGATAGATAGATCAATTGTGTGTAGGATCCTCTACAATATGGCTTTTTCGGTGTCCGCGCCACGTACACTAAACACAAAAGCAAGAACACATATGCGTCACACCTGGTGACAGAAACGGCGAAACAGATTCATCTGAGCACTCATCTCAATTGAGCATGGTCTGCAAGTGCTCGGTGTCGGCCAGCTGTCGCAGCAGCGCGACGGCTAAGTGGTGCTGGTCTCAGCCGGTGCGCCACCGTCAGCTGGGCGCCCTGCTGCCGGCAGGTGGTGGGCTTCACCGTGAGTGGTCGCCTGCTCACCTCCGTGTCGGGCGGCACCGAGCTGGGCCTGGCCGGCGCCGCCGTGCTGCTCGACGGCCGGCCCGTGGCCGTCACGGACGCCCACGGCCGATACGTGATGGAGAGCGTCACGCGAGGCCAATACCAGCTTACAGTGGAGGCAGGTACGTCCCGGACACCTCGGCCCGGCCGCTGGAGACGGCGGTAGCTGTCAGGTGTTTCCGTAGTGTAGTGGTTATCACGTCCGCTTCACACGCGGAAGGTCCCCGGTTCGAGTCCGGGCGGAAACATGCTTTTGAACTGTGCGGCCTGGGTCTCAGCATGAATACGATGTAGTTATGGACGTGTGGTGATGCAAACCTGGTGTTCCTTCATCGGCCTTCGTTAGTGATACGCACCCCGCCATTTTGTCTCTGTATCGCCTTGGGCGGTAGCCGATGCTGGTGCGGGCCCATGAGCGTCCTACTGTCACCCTGGGTGGTGGCCGGAGTACCGCGGAGTGCCGCGCCTGCCGCTGACCACCGCCTCCGACGCTCGGGACGCGGCGCTCCGCAGAGGCGGTGCAGTTCGAGCCGCGGCCGGTGTCCGTGTCGCCGGCGTCGCCGGTGCTGCCGGACCTGGTGGCGGCCCGTCTGCGCGTGTGCGGCCGGGTGGAGCTGGCCGACCTGCCTGAAGGCGTCGCCCCCCGGGCCCAGGTAGGGTCGGCCCGCCGCCGACTTGTCTCCACATGTCCAGGGACGTGGGAGTAACGACAAGGGGTGTCATTTGGACGACAGGCTGAGTGTTGGACTCATTGCGACATGTTGGGAACGGATTCTGCATTGTTACAACGCAGACCAGCCTGTAAGGGATGTTAAGATTCATGTATATTTACTCCTCGCTAGTTAAAGCATAGCACAGCTTGAATAACAGTTACGGGCGTAACGTGGCCGTGATATCTGCGCGCCCGAAAACATCAAATCGTCATCACCATCCACTAGACGTGGTCGATCAATGTGCGTGTGTTTGCGTGTTGGGATTGTACAATTCATGAGATCGGATAATCAGTTGTCTGGTTTGCTGCACATATCCCGCAGTAGCGTTCTTGAGCGCGGCTGGATAATTTTCACCGTATCCCGCTGCATCCATTTTTATCAGGTCGTTTTTTACTGGAATTCATCCTCTTTCGGCACACATTTCTCACGTATGCAGGCACTGTTATGACATGCCGTTGTTGGAGCGCAATAATGGCGTGCGTGCCATGCCATGACAATTGGCATGCGTGTCACCGTGCACAAGGCGCGGCTGCCGTGGACGGGACGTGAGCGAGCGGGCCGCCGGTCGCGCCCGTCCGTCCGGCTCCAGCGGTGACGGGGCGTGCCGCCGGCCGGCAGGACCGTGGAGCTGCGCGAAGCCGGCCCGCAGGGCGCGGCGCACACGGCGACCACGGAGGCCGACGGCGCCTTCTGCCTGTTCGTGCGGCCCGCCACCTACCGGCTGCGCGTGCTGGTGTCGGACGAGGAGAAGCGGCGCGGTCTCAGGTGCGCCTCCCGCCGCCGTCGGCCTCTTGGCCGGGGTACCGGCACCACTCGCTGCCAGCTACATTGCGGGGATGGTAGGCTGAGGGCTGTGTTATTTGGACCGTGGGTCGTGTGCTGTGGCGTGGGACTGAGGGCCGTGAGCTGGGTACCATGGGCTTTCGGCTGCGCTGTGGGATGGCGGGCGTCCTGTCCGGTAACACTCCGCTCGCCCAGCCCCCGGCTGCGCCGCCGGACGCCCGCCGGCGTGCCGTGGAGGCGTGTCACCATGGCCCGACTCGCAGTGAGGCGCGCGCCCCGCCTGTCTGACACGCCTGCGTCGCTGTGTGCTGCCACACAAACCGTCAGCCCTCCCTCCGGCGTACCGGCGGAGACTGACCGGCCTGGTCGTGACCTGACGTGGGCGGGCCGGCCGGCAGCTTCGGCTCGGCGCAGCAGGAGCTGGCCGTGTCGGCGCCCGTCAGCGGCGTGCAGCTGTCGCCGTTCCGGGGCCCGCGTCTCCGGCGCCGTGGCGTGCCGGCAGCCGTGCGCCGGCCTGCCGCTGACGCTGACGGCCGACGGCCTGGCGCCGCGCACCGCCGTCGCCGACCAGGGCGGGCCGCTTCAGCTTCGAGGACGTGCTGGCCCGGACAGTACGACGTGGCTGCCGGTCAAGGTCGGTGGACGGCGACGGCGGGGCACGCGAGGAGAGCCGGGCTCCGCTGGGGCACGCCTGTCGCGACTGCTGCTGTGGCGTGTCGCCAGGTTCTGGGTGACGCTGTACCCCGGTAGAATGCCTGGTCTGGTTCATGGTTCGAGATACGTTTGGGGTTGGAGTTTTTTCGTCGGCGCTGCAGTGGTTCCTGTCCTTGTTGCCGCGCACCGCGACTATTGGGCATGACAGCTGTGCCCGGCGGGTGTAACTTGACGGGTATGTCTGTGTGTGACCTACGACCGAGCCTGGCTGTGTCGGCAGGAGGAGTGGTGCTGGCAGGAGGCCTCTGTGCCGGTCACCGTCACCGTCAGTGACGTGTCGGACGTGCGGCTGGCCCAGACGGGGTACGCGCTGACCGTGGTCACCTCACACCCGACCGCGCTCCACTACCGGCCGGCCGACGGCGAGCCGGCGGCCTCCGCCGGCCAGACCCAGCTGACCATGGGCTCCAACCGGCTGTGCGTGCCGACGGCCGGCGCTTACTGGCTGGAGCCGCGCGGCTGCCACACCTTCGCCGAGGCTCGGGTGCGCGCCGACACGGCGGCGCCGGCGCCGCTGGAGCTGCGCGCGCAGGCGCACGCGGTGAGCGGCGCGTGCGCTGCGAGCAGGCGTCCGACGACGTGCGCGTCCGGCTGTCGGTGGACGCCGAGGCGCGCGAGCTGGAGACAAGCTCGGCCGACCGGCGCCTGCACCGCTTCTCTGTGTCGGCGCGGCCGGGCCAGGTGCTCACGTTCCAGCCGCAGTCGGACACGCTGCTGTTCACGCCCACGTACCACCAGATCACGGCCGGCGAGGACTGCCTGCCGGACGCCGTCGCCTTCCAGGCGCGCCGCGGCGCCTTCATCACGGTGAGCGTGCCCACCGGTCGGCCGGTGATCGATGTCAACGGGCGGGGTGTCCTGGTGGCAGTCTGGCCACCACCACCATCGTCGTGGTGGGAACGGCGTCGGGGGCTGGTGAATACGGTCTGTGGCGTTGTCGGAACGCGGGCCGCGGTGGAGGTCGGTAGCATCCATGACCTGATTCTGTGTGGACTGTGTGACGACCGCAGCAGTGGCCCGTCGCTTGTGGGGGGGTGGCGTGCAGTGACGGCCGCAGCAGAGACCCGTCGCTGCGTAGGCTGTGTGACGGCCGCAGCAGTGACCCGTCACTGTGTGGGCCGTGTGACGGCCGCAGCAGTGACCCGTCGCTGTGTGGGCCGTGTGACGGCCGCAGCAGTGACTTGTCGCTGTGTGGACTGTGTGACGGCCGCAGCAGTGACTTGTCGCTGTGTGGACTGTGTGACGGCCGCAGCAGTGACCCGTCGCTGTGTGGGCCGTGTGACGGCCGCAGCAGTGACCCGTCACTGTGTGGGCTGTGTGACCGTCGCAGTAGTGACTCGTCGCTGTGTGGGCTGTGTGACCGTCGCAGTAGTGACTCGTCGCTGTGTGGGTTGTGTGATGGCCGCAGCAGTGACTCGTCGCTGTGTGGGCGGTGACCGCCGGGCTGCGGTAACCTGGCGCCACCGCCCATCCCAGGTCAGATCGTGCCGGCGCTGGGCGGCGCTCGGGTCACGGTGTCGGCCGCCGAGATGGAGCCGGTGTCGGCGGTCACCGACAGCCGCGGCACCTACCAGTCAGTGGGCCGTGCCTGTGGCCACGTTCTCTTCGTACAATGACTAGGGCACTCTTGGTATTAGTCATAGTGCGAACATGCCACAAGTTTTGTGGGTTTTACTGTCGATAGTTTGAAATTCTTCCAGCTTGTTTTGTCTGGCTTAGGTTACAGTTGTAGGTGCCCAGGGTTTGTAATTCCACTCCTACTTACGAGTGAGATAATCACAGGAATGATGAGAAATATTTTGTATTGCTTGGTGACTAACTAATGAGCTATCCATGAACATTCCGTGCAACTTCTGATATGCTAGCTTTTTCTGGCCAGTCCTTGTTCGTGCCCTGGTTTTCTTAATGCTCAATGTACCATGCCATCACTAACACACATTGCTTAAAATATCATGTGTTTGCTGTTTTGCTATTGTGCTATTCTGCTCTGCTCCAATGGCTTATAAGACGTTTTGCAGCACTTGAGTTTCTGCCAGAGTCTGTCAGTTTTTTGCCACCTAGTTTTCTGCCAGCGGTTTTAATCAGTAAAATCCGGCGGCGGAAACTTGCCGCCGGCCGCTTCCAATCCTGGTTTCCAACGTGTGCGGATTTGTGCCAGTGTCGCTAAAGCCGAGCTGTTAGCGTGTGGACGGTCTGGCACCGCGGCTGGTGGGCGGCGGTCGCTGTGCGCTGGTGTCGCCGCCCGAGCCACAGAGCGCACTGACCGCCGCCTGCCGGCCGCTTCGGCTGGTGGGTAGCGGGTGTGTACTGGTATCGCCGCCCGAGCCACGGAGCGCACTGACCGCCGCCTGCCGGCCGCCGCGGCTGCTGGGCGGCCGCTGTGCGCTGGTGTCGCCGCCCGAGCCACGGAGCACGCTGACCCGCCGCCTGCCGGCCTCCGCAGATCGGACCCCTCCACCCGGAGCGCCAGTACCAGGTGACGGCCGAGAAGGAGGGCTACGTCATCAGCCACACCGAGCGGCACGGCCACTTCCGCGCGCGCAAGCTGGCCGAGCTGCGCGTGCGCGTGACGGACGAGCAGGGCGGCCCGCTGGGCGGCGTGCTGGTGTCCGTGTCCGGCGGCAAGGACTACCGGCGCAACAGTCTGACCGGTCAGTGGCGCGCGCCGTCCCGCCTCTGGGTCTGTTTGTGGCGCCTCCGCATCTGGGGCTGTCTTCGTGCATGCCTTTGTCACTGCCATTGTCTGCCCGTGTTTTGTGTGTGTCTCGTACCTGCTCCCCCACTCTCCTATCTCTATTGCATTCGTGCGTCCGTTTCCCCCGTCTTTCGACACGTGTCAGAGGGTCACTCCTTCTGTGGGGTCATGAGCCGGAGGACGGCGGCCGCTGTCGGCGTACCGGGCTGTCGTGTGACCAGCCCGCGTCCGTCCGCCGACCAGCCCCCCCGCCGCCCGTCCGCAGACGAGGACGGCAGACAGGCATTCCTGTCGCTCAGCCCTGGCCAGTACTTCATCCGGCCCATGATGAAGGAGTACGAGTTCACGCCGCCGTCCAAATGGCCGAGATCGCAGAGGGAGCCACACTGGAGGTGGCCGTCAGGTCAGTGGAGGGCCCGCGCTGGAGTTGACGGTCAGGTCAGTGGAGACCGGACGAGAGCTCGGCGCAGTTCAGGTCAGACCAGGCCGTCAGGTTGGTTGGGGCAGCTGGCAGGTCATGTCCGAGTAGTTAACGTTTTCAGGTCCCACGTGGGGGGGGGGGGGGGAGTGGATCAGGTTCGACCCGGTTACGCGTGGCCCCTGGCTAGTATGATCATGACAGTGGCTGGCAAGGGGTGCCAGGGCACATGGCAACGTACGTCGCGTTCCCTTTCTTACTATTACAAACATGCCTGTGGAGGTCAGGTTCAGACCATCGGGTCAATGAAGGGCGCCACGCCGCAGGTGACCGTTGGTCAGTGGAGGTCACATCCGGCCAGGCCAGTGAAGAGCGCCGGGAGCGGCCGTGCGCCGCGGGCCCGCCGCCCACGCACCACCGGACGCCGGATGTTTTCTGGGCCTTGTGGCCGCCGCATTTCCCCGCCGTACATCTCGTCTGCTGACAGGCCGACGCTCTCCGTGGCTGGCGGGCACTTTGGCCGTTGCCGCGTTTGGTCCGCGGGACGAGAGTGACGTTTGGGCGGGATTGGGCCGACAGCCGACCAGGCGGCGAACGTGGACGGGCCGGCGGCGGCGCGCCGCTGAGGTCACAACAGCGGCCGGGGCGAGAACTGGAGCGGTGCTCCACACGTCCTCACGCATTCCAGCTTGTCCGCCGGTGCTTTGGCTGTGTGTTCGTGGCTGAGGTGTGGATGTCGGCTTGTCCTCACGCAGCTTCTGTCGCCACTCCAGCGGCCGCCAGAGTGGCGTACAGCCTGCGGGGCCGTGTCACGTCCGTGACGGGCGAGCCGGAGCCGGGGCGTGACTGTGGAGGCGGTGGCCGGCGCCGACTGCCAGCACCACCAGGAGGAGGCGGCCAGCGAGCCGGGCGGCGCCCTGCGTATCCGCGGACTGCGACCCCAGGTCAGAGCCGACCGCCGTCCCACGGCGGCGGACGATCGGCGCCAGCCTGCCCCGCGCCTCCAGCCGTGCCGCCCCGCAACGGCCGGGGGCGCGGCCGCCGTCTGGCACTCAGTACCGGCGGGACACCACTGACACCGCTGACACTGCCGACACCGTTGACACCGTTGACGCCGCTGACACTGTTGACACCGCTGACACTGACAACGCTGACTCCGCTGACACTGTTGACGCCGCTGACGCTGTTGACGACACCGCTGACACTGACACGCTGACGCTGCTTACACCGCTGACACGCCGCTGATACCGCTGACACTGCTGACACCGTCGACACCGCCGACACTGCCGATGCCACTGACACCGCTGGCCTCACCTGCGCGCGGCGCAGCGGACTCGCAGTCGGTAGTAGGGCGCTGTGCTGCCGTGGCGTTGGTCATCTGCGAGAGCAACTGCGCAGGTTCGCTGTACAGCTCACATACCGTTTCAGGCTGTTTTGATTTTGTGTACGACAGGCGTACATTAGGTGCTAAACATGGCGCATGTATTCAAAGCAGAACTGCTACACTGACAGCGTGTCAATGCACGAACGTGGTCTAAATTTAAAGGTTACGTGTGTTCTGTTGAGACTCCGACGGACTGAACGCTTTAGGTGGCTGCGGACGATGACGAAGGCTCGACCAGGAGGCTGCCTCGTAGGAGCAAACCCAGGCTTAGGGACCCAAAACCCAAACAGATATCATGCTTTTTGAGAAAAAAACTTACCGACTGTGCTTCCATTCGCCCCAAGGAGTGCTCTAGAACAAACTTTCAAGAGGAGGCTTGCTTAGATTTTCTGTAAAGTTCAGATCCTTCATGTTTTGCCCCGTCTTGGGGAGTTGAGGCCTGGCTGCCCCGGCCCCTCCCCCCCCCCCCCCCCCTCCTTGGATCCGCGCTTGTGACAGCACTCAGTACCAAAGTACAGAAATGTTACCGATTATGCACATTTTTGGCAAAGTGACTATCGTAGTCGACGAACCCTAAAACTCCTGTCCAATGCAAAGGTGTACACCATTTATCCTTGCACGGGCTGGATGTGTTGCCTTTGTGATAACTTGATGCGTGGAGTGGGCTAGAATAAGGAAGGAATGGCTCGTTTGGATCGCTTACATTTCATTCTTTTGGGCACCACCGACACATAAAAAGGTCCCATACCCGTCAGTCGTTCATCCTTATTCCGTCACTTCCCCTGCCGCCTAATAAAGAAAGTGCAAACATTCGTTCAACGTAAAGGCATAATGCCAGAACACAGTCCTAGGTACTGATATTCACCGATAGATGTAGTATATTTTTATTGTTTAACAATGCCATGATCTAAAAGCAAGGGAATTTTCACGAAACGGAATAGTTCTAAAAGTTGTTTTCGGGTGCCCTCGGTCCCAATCAAGGCGCATTCGTTTGTGTAAAGCGACGCCATGGCGTATAGATCTGACATGGTCCGTGACGAGGTGTGCCGTTTGCTCAGGGCCCCTTGGCATTGTCCCGCCGCGGAGTTTTGTACGTGCTGCGCGTCTGGAGACCGTCTGGGCCGACGGTGACGGGGGCGAAAAAGGCGTGCGAGTTTGGCGGCGGGGCGCAGGTCATTGCCAGCCAAACTTGTGGTCAGGCCGCGTCAACTTCGGGATAGGATGGCACGCAGAGCTGGGCCGGTACCCGCAGGAGTGATTCACATGTGGCTGGATGGCTCGAACTCACCTCCTTGTCGGCCATCTGTGGTCGTAAGGGCGCCGCGTGGCAATGAAATGCCTTCCCAATGTGAGGGGTGAGGCATATCAGCGTCCAGCAGCCTTCAGAGTCGGCCCGGGAGGAAAGTCTCCCATCCAGTGATGGTATCGAGTTGCCGTCTTTTCGACACGTTTCAGCTGTAGCGCTCCGACTCCCGCCTACGATCGCTGGGTGTGGTGCTGGTGTCCTGGAACCATCGGTGTGTACGGTGTTGTTAGTGTCCTGGAGCCGACTGTCGGCGGGTGCGGTGTTAGTGTCCTGGAGCCATCGATGTGTACGGTGTTAGTGTCCTGGAGCCGACCATCGGCGGGTGCGGTGTTAGTGTCCTGGGGCCGACTATCGGCGGGTGCGGTGTTAGTGTCCTGAAGCCTACTGTGGGTGGGTGTGGGGTAAATGGCCTGGGGTTTGTTTCATCTCAGGAATTTGTTATTCCCGGGAATTTGTTATTCCCAGGCCTGTGTAATGAGCGTGACTTTCCGTTCCGTCGGCTGTCGCATAGGCCCGTTTATGCGAATCAACTGCGGTAGTTTGAAATAGCATAATTCCCGTTTTGGGACACGGGTATCACGGTTGTCATGCCTACCCCATGCAGTTAGCTGATCGCCGAGAGTACGCAATTTCTTTCTGGAACATGGTGGGAGTAAATTCCTTGTGGATAGGTGATGGTTGCTGCTTGTTTGTGTTTTTTAAAAGATGTGTGGCTCATGTGAGGTGAGTAGAGTTTGGACAGTGGAGTGTAATCATGCCGGTAATGGGGAAGCTGTGCGTGCGGGTTCGAGAGATTAGCCCAGTAATGGAAGGCTCACACACGACAGGCACGAAACGCGGCGTTTTTACCGGGATTCCCAAACTTTCGACCAACTGTGTCTATTTTGTCAAGCTCAAACATAAGTTGAAGCTGTCAAGGCCATGCCTGAAAGCCAAAGACAACCATGTGTTTCCATCACACCTGTGATTTGCGGGCATTTGTATGACCGGAGGCTATATGGCAAGACCACTGTCGCGTCTTGGCCCCCAGCGTCGGCCCAACGGCCATGGTGCCCGACATTGTACTACGTGAGGTCAGATCGCCGGCGGGTGGGCCTGACGTCAGTTACCGGTAATAGCTTCACTTACGTGTCGATTGCACGGTATTGCAATGTTGCTCCAATTTCAAGTTACCTCCGTATGACCCTGCGTTTTGCTGAGCACGCTTGGAATGGGGAGGGAGGGGAGGGGGGACCCCGCAGTGCCGCACTTGCCAGTCCTGAGCTGTTAGGTTTTAACAGCACAATCAACAGCTCGCGTCAGCTCGCGGCGGAGTCTCTCCCGCTTATTTGGGCTGCCCAGGCAATGCAAGTGGTGACTGGGAGCCGGGCTTGAGCCCCAACCCCGGCGATTATGGCGCGAGAGCTCCCCGAGCGCTCTCCCCACCCCGCCAGCCAACCAGCAGCCGCGCCGCAATTGGCCGGATCGGCATCAAACATGGGTGTAATTGAAAATGTTGAGTTGTGATTTCACAGCTTTTAAACGATGGCGAACAAATTGTAGGAATGACAGACGCGTTCGATGGTACTGATCATTTTGTTCAACAATATCTCGGCTCTGGTGAGATACACTTCCAAAGGCAGCTGATCCCGTTTCACCAGAACCGAGTAGCAATGCGGCCATGTGCGCGTGTGATTGCGGCTTTATGACGTACTCACCTGCTGAGGCTATATGGCATCGCCTGCCTGCATCCTGGCAGGAAGAACGGGCACTGCTAGGAATCGAACCCTGTTCCTCTGGTTTCTGGGACGCGCAGCGCAAACACTACGATCCCCGCACACACACATAAACACAGACTGCATCGCAGTGACGTTTTGAATGAAATGGTTTTCCATACCCTGATGGGGTATTGCCCGCGTGGTGGAACGGGCCCCTGGCAGTGACAGTGTTGAGCACTTGTTGGGGACGCTTGGCTTTGATTCCTGCTGCGGTAAAATTTCACTGGCCGGGCTTCGCGGTGGTGTTGTGGTGTTTAAGGTTGCGTCGGCATGGAGGGATTTTGCGCTCGGCCAGGTTGTGGTGACTTGACCCTAATGACGATGCCACTGACGTTCGTCAGTACACAGTCCGACAGATGGGATACTGTCGGCTTGTGCCGCAGCCACGTCCTCCGTGCTGGTGACGTCACTGCAGCGTCAGAGGCCGCCTCGCCAGAGTCGGCTGCGGTCCGGAGGAGCCGTTCCCGTACTGGCTGCTGGGACACCGCTGTGGGTCCCAGGCAAGCTGCATCTCTGCCCGTTTCCATGTCTCCAGCCGAAGCCAGCCCGTTGCGTGGACGACACTAGCCACCAGGCTGCAATCCAGGCTCCAGGCCGGCACTCAGCTGCAGTCCAGGCTCCAGGCCGGCACTCAGCTGCAGTCCAGGCCCCGGGCCCGCACCCAGCTGCAGTCCAGGCCCTGGGCCGGCACCCAGCTGCAGTCCAGGCCCTGGGCCGGCACTCAGCTGCAGTCCAGGCTCCAGGCCGGCACTCAGTTGCAGTCCAGGCCCCGGGCCGGCACTCCCGCGCCGTCCGTCTCTGTCTCCGCAGCTTCCGGACACAGCAGTCTGTGCTTGAGCCGTTGGGCTAGGATCGTAGGATCGTGTCCATTTAGGGGCGCGCGACCAGCTGCGGGTCGCGTTGAAATCATGGCGCGAGCGTTTCACGACGCGTATAATGGATGGGCCCGTGAACGTCACGCGCCCCGCGGTGACGCCAGCCGGCCGAACGGCATCTCGTTTCAAGGCATCTGCTCGGGATGAATAAACTGGCACTCAACGCGCTACAGGTGGATCTGTGAGACTGCGTCGAGTTAATTGAGAATTGTGGCAACCTTCGCAGAACAAGGCTTGAGCGGACGGGACGAAAGCCCCTCATCCTACTTCGGCTTACGATTGGTAAGCTCGTGGAAGTGGGATATGGCAGGTTGTTCAACCTGCACAGTTCATGCAGCGTGATTGTACCCATGTGCGTAAAGCAATCGCGCGTGAGGTATGGAACGCGCCGCTGGGTATGCGATCCGTGCTTGGACCGCCGGCCGCGTGGACCGCGTGCATCGCCCCGAAGGCGGCCGGCCGCCGTCTGGAGCAGACGGCCGTCGCCTGAGCCGGCCGGGACCTGACCTTCTGGGCTCGTACCGTCTGGGCTGATCGGGCCGTGTGAGCCGGCTGGGACCTGACCTTCTGGGCTCGTACTGTCTGGGCTGATCGGGCCGTGTGAGCCGGCTGGGACCTGACC